GGGAGGGGGGGGGGGAATACAAGTAAAACACAAGAAATCTTGTGTTAAGATTTTTAATTATTTCGATCTGCTTCAAACTATTTCAAGCTATTTAAAATTATTTTCGTTCTTGTTTGTCTTAAAATATATGTTTATATATATATATATATATATATATATATATATATATATATATATATATATATATATATATATATATAAAATTAAGATTCAACAGGCTTAGGACTGGTGTTTCCGCAGTAACTCCTGTTCCTTGTCTGGTTGTGGGCTTAGGGAAGAATCACTTGTCCGACAGTCTTTTTAATCTAAATTATATATGAGATATATATATATATATATATATATATATATATATATATATATATATATATATAAGTATAAAATTTATTAAAATAAAACCTATAGCCCTTCTGTAACATGCCGAGCAAAAAGGTATCTTTCATAAACATTTTACTTTTGTCATATAAACTATAATAGTATAGTTTAGGGAACTTATATACCATATTTACTAAGTCGGATAGCAATACCAAAACAAACATATAAATAATAATAGGTATAATTTATGAGTCTTTTCACAATATTTGACATCATAGACCTTTCTAGGAAATAGTTACATGTTATTTACTAAAAGGGTTTTCACTTATTACTCGTAAACACGTTGAAGCAATTTGTGAGACGTCTTCGCGTACTTACCTAAGTACCAACCAAGTCCTGACTTATAACCACATTCTCTTGTAGGGAGAGCGAGATATTTGTGTATAGATCTATACGAGACTGACAATCCCGCACCTTAACTGTTAGCTACAGTTAGGCCGGCAAGCCTGGGGTGACAAATGTCGTTAACATTCCGACGCCTGAAGAACGTCGCGATCAGGCCATCTTAGGTTACAGTATGATTATAAGAACTCACATGGAGAAAACAACGACACATTTACATAGTAATATATACTTGTTAAACAGTCTTAAGGGGTATTAACTCTATGATTACTTAGCATATACATCAGGGTTATATAAAATTAATATCCGATAAGAAGTGGAATGTATGATTTCCTCCTTACTTCATGTTCCTTGTTTGGTTGTGGGCTTAGGGCAGGATCACCCATTCGATTTTCTGTTCGATCTCGATTATATACAACTCGTATGTACTAAGTGATCATAGGAGGGTATTAACATCACATAAAGTTTACAGGGCAAACACATCTTCAGCTAGTTTTACTTATGAATAAAACTAGGTATCATCAAATTAAGTATGGCAATTATACTTGTACTTTTCGGTCTTGGAACGTTTAAGACTACAATTCGGTTTTATGGAAAATATAGGATTTTCCAGGATAAACATCATTATTTTACAAGCAAACAGTTTACAATTCAACTTTCTGGAAACAAATATGATTACTTATATAAATTTAAAGCGTCATATTTTATTCTTTAAGCATAAGAAACGTATATGTATATGTATATATATTATATATATATATATATATATATATATATATATTGGTGTTAAGGCCTAAGACTACATTCCATTATACTACGAAAATATAGGATTTTCTGGAAGAACACACGAACATTTTCAAAGAACAAATAATATACTTTCTATAAAAAAAATGTTTATGAACTTACCAACTTTAATGTTGACACTTTCAAAACCACTTGTATTCTCAGGAAACCAGTAGACAAGTACACCCGCAGGTTTTGTGAATACGGAGCATAGTAGCTTCAAGTCTTTGTTTTTGTTGTATACTTTTGATGTTATCCAACTATGGTTCAGATATAATGTAAACACTTTAATATTAATACAATAGTTGTTGTTACTTTGATTACTATTATACAATTGTTGTGATACTGTACATGACATCCTCCACCCCCGAACGTTTCCGCCGTTCCGGTTTGAACTCAAAAACTATGAAAAATAAGAGAAATGGGGTCAAACCCCCATGAATGAACTCAAAACTTCATAATACTTCAAATCTGGATCATCTAACCTTCTTGGGACCTCGAGGATTAATAAAGTTTCCAACTTTGTTGAATCCATCCATTCAAGCAAACTTAAACATGAAGAAATATGCTACAAAACCTAGATCTAGAAAGGTAGGACAAAAGATAAGAGCTTGCAGACTTACAAAGGTCCAAGATATGCTCTAGAAGGTTAAAATTATGCTAGCTTGTTGATTCTTTTGCCCCACAACACTTCTTTCTTCTGTTAAAAGACCAAGAACACCACAAAGTCTTAAAAATGGAAGAGGATGATTATAGTGTACTTCAAGGCACTTGGAGGTGATGAAGGTTGAGGATGGATGAAACCCTAGCCATTACTTCCTTTAAATAGGTCCTAAGGCCCGAAATCTTGTGTTTTAAGCCACTGGCGTCACCACGTCATGGCCAATACATGACCACATCGTGGTCATTAAAAAATGATTAAAACTCTTAAGACCTTTCCATGTCGTGGTGATCCTCCCACCACGTTGTGGCCTCCAAAAAGTCACATGATTAAAACATAAAACTCATAACCGCCATTAAAGTAGGTAAAGCTTTCTTTCTGAAGCCTTTTTGCTAATGGATTAAGATTATATCCTTCCTCTTTGTTTAGTTATAATTCATACATGGGATGAATATTACACAACTCACATATCAAAAAGTAAAGATGTAAAAATAAGTTTTTCCAAGAAAATACTTTTTATCATATAAGTTTTTCTTTTAGGAAAATAACACTTTTAATCTGCACAAAATAACAAAAAGGTAATTGTTGTCGATGCCTATGTTTAACATAGTGTTCTTAAAATAGATTCACCCTATATAGGTGTTTGTTTCCTATGATATAACAACAATAAACAATTCTTCTAGAATTCTCGAACCCTCGCTTGGCCGAAAAAATACCTTGGTTGTAGCAAGAGAAAGAATCATTAGTACAATAAAAAGAAAGGATGAGATGATTGGATCATCTGGTGTAACTCTATCAGTAACATAGGTTTTGTATTTATACTGCAAAATGGAAGTGATGGTTTAAATACCAAATCGTAACATTCAAATTATAGAGCAGAATTAGTTGAGAAATCAAAACAGAAATATGTGATTAATAGCTCTTAGTTCATTTTGTAACTGCCAATTGAAAAATAAAATAATTGCAAAAAAGATCCTTGAAATTTTCTAGTCGACCGTTGGTGCATTTGTATCTGCAAGACGTATGCTCACACACAATTTTAGTGAACCCAAGCTAAATTGGATCGCATTTGCACTCCTTGTGTATGTATGCAAGAGAGAGCTTTGGTTCTATAAGTCTTACAAGGGTAAGAAACCCTTATAGTTATATATTCATTTCCTTTTCTTTCTGCCACCTATGTGGGATGGAACAAAACCCAATTAACTCATTTGTTAATCTGATTCAACTACCTCACTTTAACAAGTAATTTCTCATTCATTCTCAATCCATTTTGGACGTGTGATATATCAAAACGAAGGTATCACGGCGGAGAATGCGAACACATAATCATTTGTATATTTTGATTACATTTAGAGTTTAAAATTCATGCTCAAAAATGGTGAAACCCCATTTTTGGAAATTGGTAAAAACCAATTTTCCAGATTAGACTAACTTATTCTGAAAAATCAAACATCTGCCTTTGATTGACTTATTCTTTCCATTTCCACCACCTTTGTTATTATTTTTATAAAACTTATAGGAATGGTGTCCATACTTTCTTGGCAATAGAAGTTCTTAACTTCCTTAGAACATTTGTATAGGATCGTTGAGTACGAAAAAAGCCTTCAATTATTGAAAATTCCTGAAAAGCCTTTGTATACGATTGTTGAGTACTGCGTGGAACCATAGAAGAGGGGTTGAATTCGCCCCTAACAGATGTTAGGATTGGGACATAGGTAAAAACGTCCAAAAGGAGGTAAAACCAACAAACTTGGGTATAGAGTATCCCAGACTAACCAGACCACTGGAGATTGACTTTTATATCTTTTACCACTCATTAGATGCAACGACCAGCAACATTGTTGGAAATTACTCATGACTATTTCAAGGGTAAATGGTCAAGATTCCCCTTTAGCGATAAAACCAACTCACTTCTATTATACAAAGAGTAGCACATATTAATACTTATCAATATTCATTTTACAAAGCCACGCCCAAGGAAAAACTACCAAGCATTTCATATTTAGGACAAACAATCCAAAAACTATTTGGATGCTCAAGACTTCATTTTTTAAAATTTTTTGTATGAGATATGGAACTTTTTCTAAAACAACATCTATTATAATTTTATACAGAAACTAACAAAATGAAAGCCAAAATATATATTTTTGAAACACATGGGAGTATGCATATATATATATATATATATATATATATATATATATATATATATATAGAGAGAGAGAGAGAGAGAGAAAGAAAGAGAGAGAGAGGAATGATAATTTGAGAACCTATAGTTTCCCGAGAACCCGAGAACCAAACAAGGACCGTTAGATCAAAATAATAGAAGGTTGAGATGCATTATGGCAGTTTTGTCAATAATTTAAAGAATAAGACACGGGGGTATCTGATTCAAATAAACCAAAGGGTATTTTAGGGAAAACAAAATTTGCATCCCTTAATGACAGTGAATCGCCGGTCTCTCTCTCTCTCTCTCTCTCTCTCTCTCTATCTATCTATCTATCTATCTATCTATCTATCTATCTATCTATATCAAACCCACCATCTGCCCCCTCTCCCAATGACCTTCTCCGACGCTTCTCAAATCAACATTCTTCTCTGGCGCCGATATTGATGATTCTCTCGTTGTAACTGTCGGTTTCCCACAAAATCAACTCCACGGTCGATTTCATCTCGTTACCGCCTACAAATCTGAATCCCAATCAATCAGATCTAAGCTAATTATCACGCATCCTCGGAACCTAGGTTTATTTGTTTGTTTTCAATGCACGGAATCAAATGAATCTGATTGAATGGTTTGATGTTTGTGCGATTGATTGATTAACAAAGCGGAGCGAAGATGTTGACGACGTTTGAATCTAAAAGCAATACAGTGGAAGGGCTGAGTTTCCACAGCAAGAGACCATGGAATTTGGCTAGTCTTCATAGTATTTTCAGATCATATGAAGTTATTGGAACGGATCAACATGTTTACATAACGCACGCCATATCACCAGTGGCTCTAAGCTTAAACCAGGTGTCTGTTTACACTTTCTTCACAATTCTTGGTTCACCTTTACCACAATGTTAACGAATCCATCTATAAAAGTAGGCTATATTAGTAAATTGGACTTTACACATCTATGGTGTACCTTACATCAATTTGAATAGACCCACAAAAACCTACTCCTTGTATAACAGCTATCGGATATAATGGCATCCAACTATGGAAAAATGGTAAAGTTACAACCATTATTATGTTTGGGATGTCTTTCTTTTATAAATACACTGAATTTCTATTCTTTTTTTGTTATCTTTTAAATAATGAGCAGAGGGCTTTGTTAGTGGTGAGGTTCTGGCTTCAACCCTTGAGAAAGAATGGTTGAGTCTTCCTGTTCTGGTACTTGGGAAAGTATATTATTTTCTTTTCTTCTTTCTTTCTTCATTAGGGTTTTTTTTCTTTCTTTAAGTTGTATCTTAATTTGTAAGAAAAAGTATAAATTGTAAATTTGTAACTGCATTTTCTTCTATAGGAAACAACTGCCACTTTGTTATCTACAACACTTGTCTCCTGACAATCAAAACAAATTCCCTCTGCAATTCCTCCTTCCACAGCACGTGAAACTGGAAGTTCTTCAACATTATCAATTAATACAAATGAAATGCTTCGGTGGATAAAAATATGTAGATCATGGAAAAATTCTAATAACTCTGCACCTGAGGTAACTAACTAGGTTGTTTAAAAAATATATGAAAAAGAAACAAAAACTTAATCTTATCATATCACTTACTGGTGTTTTTGTTTATTTATACAGCAAAAGAAATTAAAAGTTGGTGATAAATTGGAAGATCTAGTTACAACAAGTAGCAAATCAGTTAAACAAGTGATCACAACTGCAACTAAATCTGAAGTTGACAAAAAATAAGCTTAAAGGCTCCTCAAGTGGTTAAAGATATAAAAAAGGCTGAAAAGGTTGATATTGATAATTCAGATTTGGATTCAAACACAAACAAATCAACTGATATTCATTTACACATACGATTACTCGGGGGTATAAGTGTACAAGAAAAATTCGAACCTACAATAACTTTAAAAATGGTGAAAAACTACATAGATGAAAAACAAGAAAGTAGCATTGGCCCTTATAATCTAGCCATTCCTTACCCTCACAAGGTTTTCACTAACCAAGGTAAAAACTTTGCTAAAAATCTTTTTGATTTTTCTTTTATATTTATATAAAATATCGGTACTAATTTTGTTTCAATAATTTCAGATTTAACCAAGATTTTAACAGAGTTAAGTCTACTCGGTAGACAAGAATTAATAATAGTTCCACATCTGAAATCCACCAGTCACTACAAACCGCGATCTGTCATACCTAACCATGACACATCAGTCTCCACCAATGCCACGTCAGCGCCAGATGGCAAATGATATTTTTTACTTGGAGAAAGGTTCTATCATATGTTAACCCTTTAGCCTATCTTGGTGACAATAACTCTATACAGGATAATACTCAAACGACCATGCAAGAATCTGGTTCTGGTAATTATTACTTTATTAAAATCATTTTTAATTTTTACATTTACAACAACATAAAAGGCTTATTATTATGTATTTTCAGGGTCAAATCCGGGCAGCTTTTCAGGCAGTAGAAGATCATATCTTGTAACAAATAACCAAATCAACAACCGAAGCTCATCAAGATTTGGAAGTGGAAGAAATATTCATATGTTGAAATGTGATGAAGATTATACCAAATTTAATGGTAAAAATGTTTTTTGGAATCAAATCTTTAAAAGTATGTTGTTGATTCAGTTTGGTATTGTTTCATCTTAAAAACAAGCCTCACATTGTACTTTCAAACACACTTTAGTGTTCTTTATTTATTTTTTATGCAAATATCCGTTATTTATCTTCAACTGTTTTTTCTTGATGCAAGGTAGTGATTAAATGACACAATACCAACTAGGAAATGGTGGCCTTCTAGGAGCTAATTATATCCAGGTAAAGATCTCTCATATATTATAATGCATATATTAATTTATATTTACAAATGGTATATACTACGAGGTATATTCACATGTGAAGATTACGTGGTATTTTCACATGTGAATATTATCATGAAAAGGAAATAATGGGATGAAAGTGTTTGAATTGGTTATATTTTCATCAGTAAGTAATTATGTAAAAACAATAGCATATGAATCATAAGTGTGTAGAGAGTTACATGTAAATCACAAGTGAATAATATATGAATTACATATGATTCACATGTAATTCACATATGAATCACATGTAAATCACATATGAATTACATGTGATTCACATGTAAATCACATGTAATTCATAAGTGAACCACATATGAATTACATATGATTCACATGTAACTCATATGTGGTTCACTTATGATTTACATGTGAATCACATATGAATCACATGTAATTCACAAGTGAATCACATATGAATTACATGTGATTCACATGTAAATCATAAGTGAACCATATATGAATTACATATGATTCATATGTAATTCACATATGAATCACATGTGATTCACATATGAATTACATATGATTCACATGTAATTCACATATGAGTCACATGTGATTCACATGTAAATCACAAGTGAATCACATATGAATTACATGTGATTCACATGTAAATCATATGTAATTCACATATGAATCACATGTAATTCACAAATGAATCACATATGAATTATATGTGATTCACATGTAAATCATAAGTGAAACACATATGAATTATATTTATATGCACACATGTATTTTGTGTGAGTGTTCTTTGTTAATTTTTCTTTTTTATTTTTCTTGTGAATTTCACATTTGAATCTTAAAAGATACAATCACATGTGAATATTACATTATATAATCACATGTGAATATTACATCATATAATCACATGTGAATCTTATATGAAATATACATATGCATTTTTGTGAGTTTTTTAGTATTAATCAATTTTTTTTAATTTTCTTTTAGATTTGGAAGAATTTGTGGAAAGTATTGAAGAGGGGAAAAGTGATAAATTAAAGAAATATGAAAATCTTGACAGATGTGATTCACATGTAAACCACATGTGAATCACATATGATTCCCATATGAATCATATGTGATCACATATTAATCATATATGATTCACATGTAAATCACATTTGATTCACATGTAAATCAAATGTGATTGTGATTCATATGAAAAATCAAACGTAATTCACATATGATGTCATATGTAAATGTGATTTATATGTGAATCGCATGTGATTCATATGTGAATCATATGTGATTCATATGTTAATCAAATGTAACTCACATATGTATTTTTGTGAGTATTTTTGCATCAATCATTTTTTTTTTTCTTGTAGATTTGAAAAAAATTGTGGTGAATATTGAAGAGGTGAAAAATGATAAATTGAAGAAAATATGTAAATATTGACACGAAGACATAAAAACACTTTGAAATTTTCTAGCATTTTTTTGTTTTTTATATTATATTTTGTATCGAATAAATACTTATTTTATTGTGTTTATAGATTAGTAAATAAAATGAGTTTTTTTTATGGTTTCCTTACAAATATTATAGTATATGAAATATGCATATATGCATTTGTAAAAATATGCATATATGAACCTAAAATGTTGATTTTTTTGGTTAAAAAATTATAGTGTTTTTTAAATATTCCAGTTTTTTTTTTTTTTAAATGCTTTAAAAAAATAGCAATTTTAAAAAAAAATATTTTTTTCAATTTGTTTTTCAAAAATTCATGTTTTCTACAAAAAATTGAAAAATATGCACTTTTTTTTTAAATCGAAAAATACAATTTTAAAAAAATCTAAAAATTTGATTTATTATGTAAATTTTTATACATTTCTATTAATATTTCTGATAACACAAAAAATTAAACATTAAATGAGATTGGTAAAGATGACGATCATGCCCTTAATGAATTAACTTTGATCTAACGCTTCACTTTTGGTTCTCGAGAAACTATGAGTTATCAACCGATCTCACTATATATATATATATATATATATATATATATATATATATATAATATATATATATATATATATATATATATATATATATATATATATATATATATATAAAGGGGCTACCTAGTTATCATCTATTTTGCGTTGTGTCATATTGAATGATAATGATAAAAAAAATCAATAAAATACAAAATAAGAAGAAATGTGAGCTATAATAAACAAACAAACTTCTTTGTGTCATATTGAATGATAATGATAAAAAAAATCAATAAAATACAAAATAAGAAGAAATGTGAGCTATAATAAACAAACAAACTTCTTTGTCTGATTAAAAAACATATCTACATAAAATCATTTAATCAAAATATGTTGCTATTTTGCATGTTACAAAAAATTGAAAATCTATGAAAATAGTAACCTACTTTGAAATGGCTCAAAAACACATAAACAATAGTTAAATAGCTCATATTTTGATTTTTCTTTCTAAAATTGGTTGCTATTGTCATAGATTTAACTACTTTGCAGTCTACCAAAACAACAACCTACTTTTAAGGAAAACTGAGATTTTCAAGAAGCATGAGTTTGATGTTCATGCAAACTAGGTTGCTATTTTGAAAGATTTTCAAATTTAGAATTTAATTGAAAGTGCAACGTAAGTAGTGGCTCAAGTGGCCACTTGCGTATGCGTATGGCAGATTTCAAATAATGAATTTTAGTAGTTTAGGACTTTAGGTCTACCTGTTTATGTTTTTCTCCCATACGGATTTTTCTTTTTCTTTTTCTTGATTTGGATCATTATTTGTATGTAACAAAGGTTATAAGTCGCTATGATATAGTTCCACACCAGCGATCTGAGGCTGTATGAACTCAACTTTCCTTCCACACTACGGTTGAAAGACAATATCATGTACATGTATAGCTGGGATTCACTCCAAGAATTCTCTTTTCCCTCCATGTCGTTCATTTTCTTGACAATGAGATTGAGGTCCTAGGAATGGACAGTTTCTAATTATAGAAAAAAAACATTGCATAGTTACGGTTGGATTTTGTATCAACTCAACCACTATCACACAAAAAAAATATTATAAATGTACCAGTTCAACGACAACATAATAACACTATAAAAGATAGAGCCATTTTTAATTTCCTTTTTTTGTAACGAACTCAAAGAAATATCGATAACTAAAAGCTTAGTTACTCCTTTATATATTTTAAGAAGAATATGCCTAAGCAAATAAAATTGTTACATGAATGTAGAGAAAATAGTCACTTTCATGATGTGGGTTACTAAATAAATTGACATGGGATTCTCTCTGTTTCTAGGAAGTGAGAGCAATGAACGATCCAGATTTCACTCCTAGACTAAGTCTTGACCGTGAGATGATGGGAAAGTGTTCAAAGTCTCGTTTCCATCTGGGCGGCTGAGCTTGTCTAACTCCTGTCCCCTAAATGCACCAACACTTGCCTCAAACCTGCTGCTAATGCTACCGACAAGCTTAGCTTGCCTTTGTCCTTAATTCATTCCCTCCTTTTCCTCCACACATTTGGTTATATCTACAAACCTAATTATATAAAAATATTTCACTATTCTAAATATTATAAGGAAATTAAATAAATTAATCGTTATAAATATTTTTTAAAACAAAATAACCATTATTCTAAATATTATATGGAAATTAGGTAAACTAATTATTATAAATAAGTTTTTTTTATTTAAAATAACCATTTGTTTAAGTTTGTAAAAAGTTATAATTTTCAAATCAATGTCATTACGTATTTATTTTTAAATTCAAGAATTTTTTGGTTTTTTTGCATTTAAAAAAATATCTCTACTTATATCCAAAATATTTATTTTGAAATGTTTATTATCATCGTTTTTAATCTGATGTTTAATTTTAAGCAATATTATCAT